TATTGCAAATGGATGGATGAATATAGTTTGCTTGAAGATGAAGCATGTGTAATAATGAGTTTTTTATACACGTATAACCCGTTATGCTCTGCTTTTTAGGGCATAGATTAATTTATGGTGAAGCTTAATAATCCTCGTCATTTTTAAATATCTAATTAATGATATCGAATCAATTTATAAATAGTACTCTATTAACAATTAGAGGTATCCTAGGTTTAGCTGCAAGGACTAATGCACATTGAGGTAGTCTATAAGAAAATAAAAGTAACCATTATTTGATATTTGATTATACATAAAGATTGGTAACGAAAAGGCGGTAGACGTACGGTAGTGTGCTGCTGTTATATTATTATATATAGTTAGGTGTATAGTAAATGAGGACAATTATATTACACGTTTGTGGCAGGAAGTGGTAAACCAAAAATAAAGGTACGTAAATGAAAATTTGTTATGTCCTTAAAGGATATAATTTGCCTAGTTCTTTTTCTTTTATTTCGTGAAAAAGATTTCAACAGCTTGATTAAACAACAAAACAACGAATGATGATTTCTTCATAAGATTACCTTAAAGAACATATTACGCAACATCTAATACAGAATCTTGTTTTCCTAGCTAGAAATCTTTCCCATGCTTGTTTGCAAATCTAGATGCATTTTAAAAGGTAAAAACTTAACCGCATTTGTATGATTTGGGGTAAACATCAGGTGCAAATAAATTTTTACCTTAAAATACATGAAAATTCCTAAAATTTTAAGAAAATGGGACATGTTAAGAAATGTAGCTCAAAGTAACAATATAAAACAAGAAGATAAGTAGAATAAGAGAAGAATAGATAACTTTCTTATTTCATCAAGTGTTCAAGTGTGTTCCATCTCACATTTCATGCCTCTATTTATACTATTACATATGAAGGTTACATAATGATTATCTTAATCATGACATTAACAATTGAGGTCATGGGGGATGATCATGGGAAGGGGTTATGGAGGTGTGGGAGTTACAATCATAATAGTGATGAGTAGTGGGAGGTTATTTACATCATGGGTAAAAGTAGTGGGAGTAGTGGACATCCACATTTACTAAAGATTTTATAACACTCCCCCTTGGTTGTCCAAAAATAGATAATATGCCTCGTTAAAACCTTACTAAGAAAAAACCCTGTGGGAAAAAAATCTTAGTGAAGGAAAAAGAGTACACATATCTGTAATACGCTTTATTTGCTGCCTCTTTAAAAACCTTAACCGGAAAACCCAGTGGGACAAAACCTAGGCTAAGGGAAAAAGAGTACAGCGCGTATATTACTCCCCCTCATGGAAACATCACTTTATTTCTCGAAGACGCCGCATTCCAATCTTCTATCTCAACTTCTTAAATTTTGAGGTTGGTAATGCCTTAGTGAACAGATCAGCCAAATTTTCACATGAACGAATCTGCTGAACATTAATTTCACCATTTTGTTGAAGATCATGCTTGAAAAAGAACTTTGGTGAAATGTGCTTTGTTCTGTCTCCTTTGATGTATCCTCCTTTTAGTTGAGCAATACAAGTATTATTGTCTTCATATAGTGTAGTTGGATTATCCTTTTTCATAAGTAAGCCACACATTTCCTGAATATGTTGAGTCATTGATCTCAACCAAACATATTCCCGACTAGCTTCATGAATGGATATTATCTCAGCATGATTTGAAGATGTGGCAGCTATTGTTTGTTTCATTGAACGCCATCATATAGCTGTACCTCCATATGTAAACAAATATCCTGTTTGAGATCGGGCTTTATGTGGATCAGACAAATAACCTGCATCGGCATAGCCAATCATTTCTGACTTGAATTCATTAGAATAAAACAATCCTATATCTATAGTTCCCCGAAGATATCTAAATATATGCTTAACACCATTCCAATATCTTCTTGTTGGGGAGGAGCTGAATCTTGCTAATAAGCTTACTGCAAAAGCAATATCTGGTCGGGTATTGTTGGCAAGATACATCAGTGCCCCAATTGCACTAAGATATGGAGTTTCATCACCAACGAGCTCTTCATCATTTTCTTGAGGCCGAAATGGATCTTTATTTATATCAAGCGATCTCACAACCATTGGAGTACTCAATGGATGTGCATTATCCATGTAAAATCGCTTTAAAACCTTTTCAGTGTATGTTGATTGATGGACAAAAATTCCATTTGGTACATGCTCAATTTGTAGGCCAAGATAAAATTTTATCTTACCAAGATCTTTCATTTCAAATTCTTTCTTCAAACACTCTACAGCCTTTGGAAGCTCTTTAGAAGTGCCAATGATATTCAAGTCATCAACATACACAGCTATGATGACAAATCAGATCCAGACCTCTTAATAAAGACACAAGGGTAAATAAGGTCATTTTTGTACCTTCCTTCAGCAAATACTCACTAAGACGATTGTACCACATCCTCCCTGATTGCTTCAATCCGTATAAGGATTTCTGAAGCTTTATTGAATAAGTTTCTCTTAAACTTTTATGTGCTTCAGGAACTTTAAATCCTTCAGGGATTTTCATAAAAATTTTATTGTCCAGTGAGCCATATAAGTAGGCTGTGACAACATCCATCAATTGCATATCAAGCTTTTCATGGACTGCCAGATTTATTAAATACCTGAAGGTAATTGCATCTACCACAGTAGAATATGTCTCCACATAATCAATGCCAGGCCTTTTCGAAAACCCTTGTGCCACAAGTTGTGCTTTATATCTTACGACTTTACCTTTTTCATTTCGTTTTCGCACAAAAATCCATTTGTACCCCATTGGCTTGACACCTTCAGGTGTTTGGACTATTGGTCCGAAAACTTCACGTTTTTCGAGTAAAGCCAATTCCGCTTGGATTGCGTTTATCCATTTTGGCCAATCATTTCTCTGTCTACATTCATCGATAGATTTTGGCTCAAGATTCTCATCTTGTTGTATTATTTCAACTGCAACATTATATGCAAAATTGTTGTTAACAACAACGTTATTTCGGTTCCACCTTTTTCCCGTAGAGACATAACTTATTGAGATCTCTTTATTTTCATCATTTCCAGGTACTAGAACCTCCTGTGAGGTCTTATCAATTACTATGTCTTTATGCTCCTCTTGAGCAATTGTTTCCATGTTATGATCAACTTGATCATTTGCTCCTTTCCTTTTTCGGGGATTCTTATCCTTGGAACCGATTGGTCTACCACGTTTAAGACGTGGCCTAGACTCATTTGCATTATCATACTGTCCAACTGGGACATCAACTCGAATTGGAGCATTTACAGCTGGAATATGCGATTTAGTAACCCGTGGAAGGTTAGTAAATGCATCTGGCAATTGATTTGCAATATTTTGCATATAAATAATCTTTTGAACTTCTTGTTCACATTGATTTGTACGAGGATCCAAATGAGATAAAGATAATACGTTCCAATCTATCTCTTTTTCCAGCTGTTTATTTTCTCCCCCTAATGTTGGAAAAATTAATTCATCAAAATGACAATCAACAAATTTGGATGTAAACAAATCTCTTGTCATAGGCTCTAGATATTTAATAATAGAAGGAGATTCATAACCAACATATACTCCCAACCTTCTTTGGGGATCCATCTTTGTGCGTTGTGGTGGAGCAATTGGAACATATACCGCACATCCAAAAATTCTTATATGGGAAATATTTGGCTCCTGACCAAAAGCCAACTATAATGGGGAGACTTCATGATAACTGGTTGGCCTTATGCGCACAAGTGCTGCTGCATGCAAAATAGCATGTCCCCACACTGAAAGGGGAAGTTTTGTCCTCATTAGCAATTGTCTAGCTATTAATTGGAGGCGTTTAATCAATGATTCTGCTAGACCATTTTGAGTATGAACATGAGCAACCGAATGCTCAACTTTTATTCCAGTGGCCATACAATAATCAATAAAGGCCTGAGATGTAAATTCACCAGCATTATCAAGACGAATTGTCTTAATTGCATAATCTGGAAATTGTGCTCTTAGCCTTATTATTTGGGCCAATAATCTCGCAAATGCCATATACGAGTGGACAATAAGCACACATGTGACCATCTTGTAGGTGCGTCTATCAAGACCATAAAATACTTGAATGGTCCACATGGAGGGTGTATAGGCCCACATATATCACCATGTATACATTCCAGAAATGCAAGGGATTCAATCCCAACTTTAGCTGCTGATGGTTTAATAACCAATTTTCCTTGAGAACAAGCAGCGCAAGAGAATTCCTTAAATTGAAGAATCTTCTTGTTCTTCAATGTGTGCCCATTTGAATTCTTTGTTATTCTGCGCATCATGTAGAACCGGGATGGCCTAACCGGTCATGCCAAATGATAAAATCATTAGAAGTAGTAAACCTTTTGTTACTATGACATTTGATTCAACCACACCAATGTTTGTGTGGTACAACCCAGAAGAAAATGCGGGTAAGTTTTTGTGCACATATATTTTCCCGCTTTTATTGTAGTAATATAAAGTTATTCAACCTTTCCTTCGTTTGATGTCTCAACTTGGTAGCCATTTTGGCGAATAGATTTGAAACTCAACAAGTTTCTTTGAGACTTACTACAATACAATGCATTATCAATAGTTAATATCGTTCCTCTAGGTAGTGATAAGGCCGCTCTTCCAAAGCCCTCAATCAACTTTGTACTACCAGATATTGTATTAACATAAGCCTTTTTCATAACCAAATAAGAGAAAAATTTCTTTTCTCTTAATATTGTGTGAGTTGTAGCACTATCCAAAAGACATAAATCTTCATTACTCATCTTGGATCCAATTGAAGACTGGAGAATTTTAATTTCATCATAAAAAAATAAAAGTACAACATGAGAAATACGGAAAAACTAACATCACCAACGATAACACAAGACAACTTAAGTACTACTTGAAAATAAAAATAACTTTAAATGAGATAAAAACACTGAAAATAAAAATAACAACATAATTGCATTCCCCAGTAAAATGATCAAACTTTAGTTTTGATCTCCAAAGAAATCTTCTACTTCCAAATGAGTAAGATCATCGAGGCCTTGAAAATCATCATCATTCAAAGCAAGATTTGCCTCGGCATTGTCATCATTTCTGTTTGAAGGCCCTGCCTCAAAATTATTTTTAAAGGTCAAGTGAGACTCCACTGGGGCATTAGCAGAAGATGCTCCAACATTATTTGCCTTTCTTTTGATGGAGTTTTGATAAAGCCCGACAAAATGCTCAGGTGCATGTCATTCAATTTTCCAATGACCTTTCATGCCACAGCGGTGGCAGTTACCGCTTTTGCCTCTTGAAGGATTGTTTTGAGAATCCATATTGTTCTCTCGTTTGCCATGACCACCACGATGACGACTATTATATCGTCTCTTACCATTGCCATGACCACCACGATGACGACTATTATATCGTCTCTTACCATTGCCATGCCCACGTACATTCATATGGCCATGATTATTATTCTGCCTTTTTTCAGACTTATCACGTCTAGCTGCCATATTTGCTTTAGGAAGCGGAGCTGATCCTGTGGGACGGGCTTCATGATTTTTCAGCAAAAGGGTATTATGTTGCTCAGCCACCAGAAGGCATGAGATCAATTCAGAATACTTTTTAAAACCCTTTTCACGGTATTGCTGCTGTAATACCATAGTTGAGGCATGAAAAGTCGTAAGAGTCTTTTCCAACAAATCTTCATCATTCATAACATCCCCACATAATTTCAATTGGGAAGTTATTTGAAATACAACAGAGTTATACTCACTTACGGTCTTAAAATCTTGCAACCATAGGTGCATCCACTCATATCGAGCCCTTGGCAATACCGTAGCATTGTGATCATACCTTTCCTTCAGGCCAACCCACAATTCAAGTAGATCTTTCACTGTCAAATATTCAACCTTCAAACCTTCATCCAAATGATGATGAAGGAAAATCATGGCCTTCGCTTTGTCTTGGCTTGATGCCTCATTACCCTGAGTAATGGTGTTACCAAGGCCTTTAGCGGCTAAGTGAATCTCAACATCGAGAAACCATGATAGGTAATTATTTCCAGAAATGTCAAGTGCCACAAACTCAAGCTTTGACAAATTCGACATAGTAAAAACTATCAAAGATGATAACTAATTAGAAATCATTAGGATAATAGCGTAAAGAATCTTAAAAATTGACATAATATTAAATTTGTGATCTATATACACTAAAGTGATAATTTCATAGAAAAGAATACTATTTGTTTCTTCAAATTATTAGTATATCTTTGATGTTAACTAGAACCAAAATGTCTTCTAACTTTAACACAATTTCAAATGTCGAACAACATAAAATAAGTATTCTTCTCTCAATTAATTCTATTAACATGGAAATTAGCAACTTTCACATGGCAATCATACAAATAACTTAATAAAGAAACATAGAATTCATATTAAAGATACTAATCATGAAATCAAAATATACAACGAAGAAAACAAAATGAACAAATATACCTGAACAACGAAAAGAGCTCAACATCGTGCTGATAACGTGTTAAGAAATGTAGCTCAAAGTAACAATATAGAACAAGAAGATAAGTAGAATAAGAGAAGAATAGATAACTTTCTTATTTCATCAAGTGTTCAAGTGTGTTCCATCTCACATTTCATGCCTCTATTTATACTATTACATATGAAGGTTACAAAATGATTGTCTTAAACATGACATTAACAATTGAGATCATGGGGGATGATCATGGGGGATGATCATGGGGAGGGATTATGGAGGTGTGGGAGTTACAATCATAATGGTAATGAGTAGTGGGAGGTTATTTACACCATGGGTGAAAGTAGTGAGAGTAGTGGACATCTATATTTACTAAAGATTTTATAACAGTACATCTCTTATTCTTTTGTTGTCGTTGTTACATTTATATTAATATCAACACTTATGACATAGTCTCTTTATTATAGTTAACGAGTTACTTCATTATAGTTAGGGACTTCATTTTATTGTAGCTAGAGACTTGTATGTCCATATATGGATAAATGTGAGAATATAGAATCTCTAGTAGTTAGATGATTTCAAGTCAAACAGTATTAAAATGAAATAACTCTGAATAGATGGAATTAATGCCGAAAATTTATATTGTTGACCTCAACTAACTTATTTGGCTCAGTTATATGTAAGTGAAAGATAACTTTCTTTAGTTTAATTTCTCTTTGTCTTCCTTAAGCAACTCAAAAAATTTTCTCCTCTCTCTCTATGTATTTTCCGAACACACAATATCATATGGTGCTTGAAATGAAGGTGGATCCGGGCTGAAATTTATGGGTTCTTAAAGCGATGTCAAGCTAATATATAATAATAACTGAATTTATGGTTAAATTTATAGATATTTAATGAATTTGTTAATATACTATATAGAAAGATTCTGAATAAAAGTTACTAAGTTTGAAGTTCTAGTTTATTAATTGTCTAAATTCGGATTAGAGTCAATTCAACTTGGGCTGGATCGGAGTCATCAAAATCTTTAAATTTTTACCTAGCTATACTATAATAGAAACCTATTTACTACCTTTATTTAGGTTCCTTATTAATTACTTTATATACCTATAATTACTAGTTTTATACAAAACCATAAAAGGAGGAAATGAAACATACCTTAAATATGGGGTATCAGTTACACATAATCCCCTACATTTAAGATACTCTTCCTTTTTCCAAGGAAAACTATATCTGTCTTTGTACTTATCCAAAATCATCACCTCTCTTTGTACTTACCCAAAATCATCACCGTGAGAAACCCACTGAACCCCAAAATCATCACCTCTCTTTGTACTTACCCACAGTAAGAAACCCATTGATACCCATAATCTTTCTAACCTAAAAATCTCGCTAGCTCACTCCTCTTCCACTGTTATCCCCCCAAAATTGCAGATTCTTTCCTCTCCCAAAGCTGTTCATATACAATTTCTCTCTTTAATCGTCCAAAATCTCTTTCTTATTTATACAATACAGAAGAAATTCGAAGATTTGCTCTACAATCAAGTTATGGGTAAGCTTCACTCTACATTAAAGTTGGTTTTAGGTTGAATTTCATAATGAAACTCGAGGAAGATGAAGTTTCAGAATTGTATTACGATTGTATGATAAAGGTATCATAATTGTATCTGAGTTGTATTTTATACATCAATACCTAAGACAATTCTGATACAATATTAATAATATTAAAATACAGTATTGTATTATAATTTAAGTTTAGAGTTGGTTCTAGGTGGATGTTTTAAATTGGAGCTTGAAAAAGATGAAGATCAAAGTTGTATCATAATTTAGAATTGTATCACAATTTGTACCTAAAACAATACATGATACAATACTAATACAAGTATAATACGATATTGTATCAGTTTAAGTTTAGAGTTGGTTTTAAGTTGTATCATAATTGTATCAGAATTGTGTAAGAATTCTTTCAGGATTGTATCAAATTTCTATTTGAATTATGAGCAGTTGTGAGATCGTGACGAATTTCACAGTTTGTATCACAAATATATGATAATTATATATTAATTTATTAGTATTGTATCAGGTATTATTTTGGATATTAATGTACCGTCTACAAGTTATATACAATTGTGATACAAGTATGATACAATTACGTTTTACGTATTGATGTATCTGATACAATTTAAATACAATTATGATACATTTTATCATACAATTCCTGAATATTTCTTCATTTTCAGTGTTGTCCGGTCTCCCAGCAAAAGAACGGTGCAATTGATGATTTAATAATATAAAATAGTCGGCAATGGTGGGAAGAGAGAAGATGGAGATTCTGGGTGTAGATTAAGGAATTTTGTTGTAAAAAAAAAAGGAGAGAAGAGGAGAGGGAAAAAAAGGAAAGGATATAATTGAACCCCGTAATTGAAGGCACTAATAATGGGGTGGGAGCCTTTTAAGGAGCAATCTACACAATTTGTAAGAAAAACCTAGATACTTATTAAAAACTACAAAACATAGAGAACATTGGTAAATAAGTTTCTAATATAGTATAACTAGGTAAAAGTCCCCAAAATCTTGTTTATTAGGCTTGGGCTTTTTTATCTAGTAACTGGCTTTTCAGTGAACACTCTTTTTGAGTTATCCATTCTGGCCCAAAAGGAAGTTTCAGCGTGCCTACCACTCATAAGTGTTCAAATGTTTTTCTAGCTAAATCCTAACTAGAGGCCTTAAGTTAAGATAATTGACCAAAGTCAATATTTTTTGAGTAAACGAGCCCGGATTCGTAGTTTGAAGGTTACAATAGGTTTATATGATGATTTTGAACTTGTATGTATATCTGAATTAGGAGCCGAAGGGCTCGGGCGCACTTCAACACTGTAGCATGAAAATGGGAAGTTTAAGGTTCATAAGTTTGAATTGCAAGTTGACTGTTAGTTGTAGCATTTTCCTTTGTGTTTTGACCCTTTAGATAAGTCCATATAGGCTATTTGGACTTGTCGAGATAGTCTGGAGGGGATACGAGGAGCTTAGTGAATTTCGGTGCATTTGAAGAAAGTTTTAAAAGATTTGAGGTGCCAAAACGTGATTTTCTGCACTTGACCTAATTTCACAAGAGAACTGTTCTAAATTTATGTGGGTGAAGATGCCTTGATGAGAGTTATATCCCTTTATATCTTATTTTAAGAAATTCAAACCGTTAATCAGTCAAACAAATGTACAAAAAGTTCTGACTGTTTTAGTAAAGGAAAAAAACTTGTCGCTATCTCTGAAAATCTGTACCAAAAATTTATGCACCTGTGTTTATAACCCCATTTCGTACTTGAACTTTATTTTATTCTGGGAGCTATGAAGCTCGATTTGAAGCGATTTTTGAATGATGTGGTAAGTGATTCTAACCTAGATCTACATATCACAAATCTACCACGAATTTTTTTCTTGGAAACAAGAAATGTAAGAGGAAAAGAAGGATCTTGACTTAAAAGTTAAGAGAGTACATTTTAGGGGATCTTAACAGAAATTTAGACCCAAAATTGAAAATAAATTACATATTTAGACTCGTGAGAGTATGGGTCAATGAGATCCGACTTTTGCTTGGGGGCTTGACCATGTGGGTCCAGGGTTGATTTTTTGTTGACTTTTGAGATTTTATTAAAGATCGAAACTTTATCAGTTGGAATTAATTTCTATAGCTTCATTTGACTTTCTTGAGCATTCTTTGGACTAGATTCGACTCATTTTACGGATTCAAAGCTAAAAAAGATGGATTTTGAATAATAGAGCTAGCCCAAGATAAAGGTAAGCATCGTGCTTAACCTTGACTTGAGAATTTTTTTTCAAAGAATGGACTTATGTGCTACATGCTATGTGTTTCGAGGTGAGATATGTACGAGATGACGAGCGTATTTACAGATACCAAGGTTCTCCATGCTTGGGGTAGAGTTTAGGCATCTTTACGCCTTGTTTTGGTACATGTTCATTTATGATATGCCTTACTTGTTTGTATGACTTCATGAGCATTCTCAATCATGCAAGAGACCATGTCTAGGCTTTTGACATTTTATTTGGACATGATGGACTATTTTGTATGTTAGAGTACATGTTATAGCCGTAGTCATACTTTATACATATGCATACATCTGTGCATTTTATATCTTTATCCATATGCATCACATATATTTATCTCCGTATATATGCATACATCCCTGTATATGATTCTATGATATGGAATGAGATGGGCATGATGAGACATTTAGTGCAATTGATATTATTATGGCTTGATGTGACATTTCGTGTGGCTTGATGACTGATTTATGAGACAGTTGATTATGGAACTATAATTCTCGGGTACATGGATTTGAAATCCGTCCCTCCGGAGTCACATGATTACCCATGCTATATTGGGTTGTGTGCGCACAGTATTATTAGATATCTTGGAGGTATCGGTCACCAGAGAGGTATAGATTAATGTACAATTTGAGTCTTTATATCATAGACATTCTAGACTCTTATAAAAGCATTCATGTATATCATTTATATATTGTTATTCATGCATTTTACATATGCATGCACGAGACTTGTTAGCATGTTGTTGAACACTTGAAGGGTTTCAAAGTGACGTAAA